ACCATTTCAGTGACGCACGTTGAAGAGTTCCTCAGGCGTAAGCTTGGCCACGGTTGCTTTGGCTTTGGCGAACGCCTTACCCCAAGCTTTGCCTCCGTTGGCAGCCGCTGAAAAGGCACACTTTAAGTACATACGACGCGTACCCCACCGAGAGAATCAAACACATACGTGCAGGCCATAAGGTGCTATTCAGCAAGTCATCCGTAATGTCGCGTCGAAAGAGATGGCCTGAGAACGCGCTGTCCAACGAACGCTCAAACGAGTAGGCAGAGGCAGAAGAGGCCGCAAGGAGAGCAAGAATGACCGCTGCTGACAGCATGACCAGAGCCTTGAAAGAGCGCGAATTCAGAGTTCACCACTTTATATACTGATGACCTCTGCCCTCTCGAATCGCGAGAGAACGTTCAAGGACCGAGTTCAGGTCCCAATGAGGGGTCCGATCTGGAAGCAAATTTCCTGGGGTGACTGGTGGCGGCCATAATTTGACGATTCGTATATTACAAAGTGTGCTCAACTGATCAAAATCATCGTTCCCCAGCCTTCTGAGGTCTTCTGGCAAATCTTCTGAGCGTCGAAATGGAGCTTCAGAAAATAGCCGAAGGCGCTTGTCCTTTTTTGATGATTTTAGAAAATGTCTGTGGTCTTCTGTAGGACCCGTGATAATACACCCAGATGTCATACACAAAAATGGCCTCAAACTGGCCTGTTTTGTACGAACCTGGCACCAAATTTTTGGGGTCATTTTGTACGAACTTGTGTACGCCCTCTAGTTTTCACCAATTTTTTTCCGAAACCTTCCCTACCCTCCCTCAATGGTCCTAAACGTTGTCTCAGTTAGCGAAATTACATGCAAATCATCATGATATTCATCGCGTACCGCTCTCTGCCTGTCTCCGGACGATTGCTTTGACTGAAATCCAGACTTCTAGCGTCAAATCTGGGTCCCTTTTGTACGAAAAATCTCTCCGGCCTCTCGCCATCGGCGGGTGTTTTGTACGAACTTGTATACGGGATTTTGCCAAAATCGGGGGGTGTTTTGTACGAATTTGTGCACTACATTTGGGTGTGTTATCACGGGTCCTTCTTCTGTTCACCTCCTCGAACTTTCGTTCTTTCTTCCAATGCTTTGCCCCGTCGGATCCGTCGTATCTGAGAAATATACCAGTGAATTTCGGACATAAAGGACAGGGGATTGGATGGGATTAGCGTTGAATATTTTACGCTGCGCGTTCACCGTCACGGTCAAAGCAAGAGATAAAAATCATCACGGGATCCACCAATCAAATTTGCGATGGCGGATCGGCATCTCCGGCATCTAATGTTGGTTTTGACGGGCGCTTAGTCCGACTCCGATAGTAGTCCGACTCTCTGTCACTCTCTCTCAGGTTCAGATGCTTATACCGGATCTCTAACTCTCTTTTCTCCCAGGTTTCTCCGTCAAATAGCTCAGGTATATGGTGGCCAGACTATTCTACGACGATACTCAAGGACTATGTGCTTCATTGTGCTTCATTCATTGGACCAATCTGGCTGAAGCAGGTTTTCGTACTAGAAATGAAGTTTTTCGAACTCATATAACTGATGTCAATCTCCATTGGACCATTGCTCGAAGAGATCATCGAAATCGCTCGATCTTCCTCGTTCGAAGTTCCTGGTCTGGGCTTTGGAATTTGCTGTCTTTCTCAAACTGCATCATCTGCCTCCAAATATGAAGGAACGACATGAACAGCTGTGACAAATGCATAGGGCGGATAGTAAACCCGGGAAATATCCCTCATGAGTCTCCGTATCTGATCTTGAACTTCCTTTGCAGAGTTGCAGTCTCGAAGAAGCTCAAGTCGCTGCCAGGTCATCCAAAAATACAGCAAGATTCCGACTCTCCCGAGCTCAGTGCTGTAAGGTGCTGTATTGGCCAAGCATTTTGACTTCATTTAGGACGCTCTTTCTGATGTTTCTGAGCTTCGTAACTTCATACGGAGGTTTTAAATCAAGATGCCTGTTGTTTGGTTGGTTGAAGGCCTGATGTTTCGTGAGTGCAGTGCAATCTTCGAACGGTTCTTCGTTATCCTTCAACGCCCATTCATCATTTCATTATGCAAGGAACTTCACAATCATGCATCTTCGTCCATAACTTTGGACATGGTTCATCACGGATCTATTATGGTACTATGCTGTTCCTCTACTGTGGGCGGGGTCGAACTTCGACGCTTGTCAGGAAAGCAGAATGTGATTGGAGATTCCCGAACCGTTATGCATCTTGCTTCATTTCCATGGACTCCTTTGCAAGCTCCGTACGTGCCACTGGCAATGTCTTCGCTTTCAAGGTTCATTACCGTGGAAGGACCCTATGTCCTTGGGCTGCCTTGCAACAGACACCGTTCACTGTCGCCTATCACTGAAAGACACACCAATGAAGCATCCAGAAATAAGGAAAGGCAGAACAAGGACTCGGAATGCTCAGGAAGAATAATGAAGATATCTGTTCGAAACCGTCCTTCAAAATTCCCAAACTGCGACGTGTTCTAGCTTTCCGTTTGGCTCGGTATCTTACTCGAAGGATTTTCGTGTATACGCTGTGAGCTCAGAGTTCTGCTTCTTCACTACATGTAATATCCTATGTTGATACTTATAGTAATTCCCCTAGGTCCGACGACCGATACATTGGGTATTCATGTTCATTACCCACTTTTCTCACTGTTGTCTCTTCAACGAACAAACAGACGAAGCATTACTCCTGTTCTTTGGGCCGATAAGATACAACACATGTTCTTGACATACGCGGACCGAAAGAGAGGAGGGTGTTTTGCAACTGATCTCGTCTTCATATTTCTCCCAAAAGTTGGTTCTTTTCCAAGACGACTGATCATAAACTCTAACTGGACGCTCAGAGTTCCACTATCTTTCCTCGAACCCCATGTACGATGTTAAACTCTAATGGCAACACGTACATGTTACGGCTGTATCTAGAGGAGGTGAGCTCTGCCTCTACCTCATCATCAAGCAGTTGATTCTGATCATCCACGAATGTTAACGTTTATCGCTTCCCCACTGTGAAGCTGACATGGTGTGTTTATACAGCCGGAGAGAGATCTTCGTTTTCTCGGCGTTTCATCCCTCGACTGAGAAACGGAGCTTGGATTTTAGCGTGCGATTCCTGCCCCAAATCGTGGTCTGCTGCCAACCTCTGCCAGCCCAGCTTCCGAGTTCATAAAAAACATGAGACGAAGAGACTATTCTGAAACGAATGTTTTTTCTGTTACCGTGGTTGCACAATGTGTCAGATGAGAGGTCGAGGGAAGTTTTCGCTTAAGCAGATATACTGTTTGTAGTCAGCAAGCATTCGCCTATACTTATTTGCGGCGGGTGTTGTGTTTGGCAAGGAAGAAGTACTGTCTCATTAAAGATACGGACTCGCGCTGCTTCGGCGAATCCTTGCTTCGTTCGCCTCGAGGCGCCTGATTTGCACGCCATTGACAGTTCATACTCTTACTTTCGAGTTTAGATGAAGAAAGCTTTCTTGTCCTTCACGGAGAGCAAGGCCGAAATCTGTCAGAATTTCTTGTTCTCTTGGAAGAACTAGAAGATGGCAGAATATGAGAACTTTTTGAACGTGGAACGCTGATAGACAAATGGGGAAAAGGTTTAGCGAGCGCTAGGCGATGTATTAAACGAACTTGGACAGAACAGCACAAGATGAGTTGGAACAACTTGACAAGGCAAAGTATAGCAAGAACGTCGAGCTCGAAAAGAGAAAAACGTAACTATAGGATCTGACTTTCATTACAATCGCCACCGCTGCGAGCTGCGCGGCAATCAAACGTGTCCTAATAGCCTTTCAGAAGCCATGCGAGCGAGAAAGGATTTTTTTTTCTTCTTTACTTACATCCTACATACTCTAATCCTGATAGGTTAAAAGCGCCCTCGCTCGAGCTCACTTTTCTTCTTTCTTTCTGACCCTCACTGTGCCCCCACCCCTTGTTCTCGGCTTCGCTTTCACCAAAAACACTCATGGCTGGTAGACTGTGGATTTCGGTTTGGTTTATGCTGACGGCACCTCTGATGTTATGGGATGCTGGCTATTGTTTGATGAGGTGTGTTTCGTATACGATCAGCTTCTCGTGTTCGCGTTCGTTGACCTATCTTGCTATCTATCCTAGACCACGTTCAATGGTTGGAGGAGACCTGCATTGGATATGGGCATTCTACGAGTTCTACGGCGATGTAGACCATGTCGGTCACCGCTTTAAATTGTCGCGATTACTTCGCTTCAGGATCTGATTATACGTTGCTCACCTTGTAGGTCTACGGTGTCAAAGCCTTCGAGGACGGCGAAGGGTTCGCCAATGCGGCTGGTGCGTCCCAACTCTGCTCTTTTGGACTCAGAATTCCCATCTCATATATCATCTCGTGTCAGCTGTCCTAAATGTCATTGAGAACTTCTTCGCCGTACGTTGTCTATTCTGCTCGATATCAATACAAATCATTCAAATTCCACGCGGTATCTTCGCTCGACAGATTGTCTATCTCTGGACGACGCATATCTATCCTTCCGAGCTCGCTCCTCTCGCAGGGTATACCGGATCAGCTATGACCTTGGCTAAAACACTCCTCTACGTCTCGCAGGAGTACTTCTGCGGATTCTGCGCTATCGGGCACAACACGTTGTCCGGGATGGTTTCTTATTGGATCTTACCGAACGTGTACGTTCTCCTGTCCCCCAGTGATTTTCTTCTCATCGTTCGTCGGCTTGGTTACTAATCTAGAAGCTTGGCCCCCACAGTGCTTGGATTACAATATCGGGGCTAATAATGTACCACCTTGGGAAGGACATCATACGGAGCTTGAAGGCGAAGTGTGAGAGGGGGAAATGTGAATGATATACATATAGCTTTAACCTTTTCATTTTGTCTTACTGTTCGCTACATAGAAAGCACCAGTGAGTGTATGGTTATTATTGACTCCTGTAGTTGTTGGTACCAAAGTTTCTATCATTTTCATATGGGGGTATAGCTCAGCTGGGAGAGCAGCAGACTGAAGCTAAATGTCACAAACAACGTTTGGTGTTCTGAAGGTCCCGCGTTCGATCCGCGGTACCCCCATTTTTTAAATTTTCGGTTTTCTACATGTTTCGTTGAAGGAAAGAGCATGATTCTGGTATTCGTTCTGAATGTACATCGTTGATAGTTTCAACCCGGTGCTAGTTTTTACCACTTGGCATATGGTAAGAATTTTCCGCTATCGGCACCATCAGCGCGAACATTTGGAGGACTGAAGGAAAACCACCTACTCAAACGTCAACACAACACGATCTCCCTTTGGGTCAGGTTTCTTATCAACTTTGACGTAGCAGTCGATCATCGACATGATCCCATCTCCAAACTACAACATCAAGCAAAGGGAAGAAAAAAGTTCCTCGTGAGCTCCTAGAACTTGAACGAGGGGGAGACTGCTAATCGCCGCAGAGGCAGATTCAGCTCAAACGTACCTTCTCATTAATGAGGGCCTGGGTTCGGGGGATGATGAGATAGAGGTAAAGAAGTGAGCGTCAAATAGACGGAGGTAATCCATAGGGAGTAGAGATGAAAGTCGGAGCGAGACAATGGGCGTAATCAGGTGTAATCAGAATCATGACAATCTATAGGATGAAAGGTTCGATCTCACTTTGATGGGATGACCGTAGACCATGATACCCTGAGCGCGAAAAGATGACTTAGGAAATGGGAATCGACCATTGGAATGAATGAACGCACCTCGTATAGCCGGTACACAACGGGATCAGTAGGAACTGCAGACCCAAGACCACGGTAAGGGAACCAGTGGTCACCTAGTCCTGCAGTCAACTCCGCATGGGGAAGGTCAAGAACTTCAGAAAGCTTTTGTAAATCTTCTGCGCTAAATTTGGCCTAGAGATTGAAGATTCGGTCGTTGATGATCGTTATCATTTTCCGAGAGACACAGACCTGTCCATAGAAAGCTGAAGCTACCCAAACTTCGTCTTTCCCGATTGCCCTCCCTATCGCATCAAAGGTCAAGCCTGTTGACACCTCTCAACATTAATATCTCAACGACCTAGAATCCTGTAGCGTACCCTTCTTAGCTTTAGCTTCAAGGAGCAAGGTATGGATCGAAGGGAGAGCGGAGAACGGGGCAGCGTTGGTAGGGATTGACTATGTCAGCTCAAAACCCTTTAATTATCTGGAAATTCGCGGCTGGATATACACTCACGGCCGATTGAGACATTGATCAGAAGATGAGGGGGAGTACGTGGAAATATCGTTGAGGAGATTTGAATGTAAGAGCTTAAGTAGCGATTAGACCAAAGCTGGCAACGTGACCTGACGTATGGGCAGTATTGGCAAATTGTTAATCGTCCTCACACGAACGGGAGAAAGAGGAAGCATCTTCACATGAATATGTATTAGCATACCGGTATAACGGAGGCAGCGATGACCTTGCCTAACACTGTCTATACGCAACAAGAATTCCGTATCATCCCGATCCCGAGCTCCCGTTTCCTGAATCAGAGGGCTTCCATACTTCTTTGTGGCTTGCATTAACTCGTATAGCTGACCCAGTTGCTCGGAAGACATCTGGGCAGAGAAAGTTACTGGCATACATGCTGTGTCGAGGTTCAACGTACCTTCTCTAGGAGCATTGAATCAAGTTTCCGTCCCGAAAACGTCCGTCCATCCTTTGCGGCTGGCAAAGCCTCCAAGTAGAGTTTCCATTGCGAGAGAAAGCGGATAATATGAACTGGGTTGGTGACTGCTCGATGGCGTCGGAATTCTGACCGAGATTGTGAGCCAATCTGTGTCGAGCGTTTATGAATAATGCTCACCTGCTTTCACATAGTCATCTCCCAGAGAGCGCATTTCCGATGGTAAATTGCGATGTGACCGAAGTATGTGGCGAAAGAGTCTGAAAGTTGTTGGTACGAAAGCCCGGTTCACCATACGCGTCGGAGCTCACGGTTTTGGTGGCAGTAATGCAGCATTGGCTTCTTGAAGAGTAGACTGTCTGGCAGAGAGAGATACGGCTAGTCTGGCGAAAGATCCTCGCATTGTGGGTTTGAGTTGCCTTGAAATTCTTGGGCGCTTCAAGTTCTTTCCACGGATTGTCGTGCGAAACTCAGCGATTCACTTGGGATATACTTAAGGAAGGAAGGAACTTGGAAGGAAACTACTCGGCTCCACCGAGGGAGGGGTCCCACAAGGGAACAGCCGGGCCCAATGCCTTTCATGCAGCCAATGCTCATCTCACAAGGAGACAATAGACTGCTACGAGTACAGAGGGACATAGAGGGACATAGACAGAGAGACATGTAAGTAATGTCTACTGTTAAGTGTAAGCACGAATTAGAAAGCGCAACAGAGTGTGAACACCGAAGACAATAAATAAATGTAAATGTACACTGTGCCAGTAAGGGATAGTATCAAATAAAGGATTTTCAATCCTCATCATACTTGTCCGAGCTACTGTCAGTCACCGACCAGGTCGTTGACTGGCCTGTGAGGATGAACTCCTTCCAGAGCATGGTTGTTTTGTACAAGTATTCAGTGGCTGTAGGAGAGACAAGGTTCCAGTCAAAGATGAATTTCTTTAGGTACAATAGTGCATCTGCATCTGAGAATTCCAAAAAAGCCAGCACACCCACGCATCAAGCTCTATCAACATTTGAAAAAAACCTATCCATCATACAGACCATAGTAGAGTATAAAGTTGTAAACCATTGATGTATACTATGATGGGTGAGCAGCAAAGGAAGGCAATTCTAAGTACTAATCAGGTTAGTAGTCAATTGCTGTGCTTTTCTGACTCTGATCCTTCATCTCATGAGACTCGACCTGTATGAAGACCTGATGGTTGCAATGAATAAGCCAGCTGAGGAGGGCAAGTGTTTTTCAAACAAACCTCTGGATGACTCCGCACATGATGACCCAAGTTGACCTCAACCTGTTGTTTGACACAGAAATCTTGTTCAAGCAGTATGTTCTCGGATAGAAAGAGAACACATACGTGCTGATTGACTCCGGGTTCAGTGTATATCCCGGATCGATTTGTCACAGTTGTATTATCAGTAGTCGAATCCATGAACTTCCATCCTCCTCTCGAGTTGAGAGAGGAGAGTATAGAGTTTGTGTACAGTTTTGCAAGTGTAAAATTGAAAAAAAGGTGCCTGACATGGCCAGGATATGCATGAGTTCATAGCCCTCAACCATACTGAGAGAAGGAGAGATCAACGCACACCCCAGCTGGATCCAGAAGGAAGGTCAAAAGATGAGCAATACTACATTCAGGATGATTTTTTGAAACTAAAGAAGATTGAAAGAGCAAGACCCACTCCCATACAGCAGTAATCATTCCTTCATAACATAAGCATCATCAACAAAAGGAGGAATAGATGTATGACATACCGGTTTGAAGTGTTACTGTTGATCAAGAATCATTCATGAACCACCAGTATAAAAATTGAGGTTTCGGCAAATCCACCTACACCGTATGACTCTGTCAATCTGGTTGTCCGTGCCCTTATTGAAACCCGTCTTGAAGTGTCTCTGTCAATGTGGATGAGAAAGAAGCTAGCATCAGGGGAGGCTTTGAAAGATACTATACCAAATGCAACACCAAAGTCGACATGATAATCAGATCAGCTGCCATAGCCGTAACGGCCCCTATTGCGATTCGGCCAGTTCCCCTCAGTTTTTGGTTGGAAGGGTAGAAAAAAATTCTTAACATACATATAATCACTATCACTTGGAACCTCTGAAACTCCGAAAACGCCTTGACAATGTCCGCTCCAATTGCGGTTGCAATCCCCATCACTATGAAGCACTTCATAAAGTGGCTGGGTGATAAGTTGTAACAGAAACGCGCTCACGCATATTCGCTAGAGCACCGACAAATATGATGATAGTGATGAGCCAATTCTTGAGCAGGATTTGTACTCTCCATCCATAGAAGCTTTGCACAAGGCCACCGATGATTCCCTGTGCATGGAAGCTTAAATAAAGAATAACCAGCAAAACGAGAAAGTTATTATACCACGAGAGCCGGCTCTGATTATCAACTCAATCAGCTATCGATAACTTCATAGTCACATCCTCAGGCTTACCTGCAGCAAATACCCAAGTTGAATCAGAAATATATGCAATGTCTCCTACACTTGAATGTCAGTAACCAATATGGTTCGGGAAACATGAAAGAAAGTGCACCAAAGTGTTTGACAAGTGACAGATACATATAAGCCATGATGAAAACTGTGTGTACACTGTCGGCGATGAAGACCAAGACAACCTGTATCATCCTCATCAGCTGAGTGTACAGGACATCCAGATCGAGAGGACCGCACATATCCCTGAATGAACAATCTATCCCTGGAGGCAACATTGACTGTGATCAGCTATCGAGCTATGATGTGTATAACTGGAGTTTACTTTTTCCGATATGCGCTCCAGTACATGTAACTAGCAAAAGAAAGAGTCTCAGTATTTTGTGAAACCGGTCTGGTATTTCTGCTAGCTTACACTTGTGTCACGGAGATGCCGAATAATACGAGGGCAAGAAAGGTGCCAATGAGCATTGGCCCATGTCTGTCATATCATCAGAATCATTGAAATTCACTGTAATTCAGAGGAAGAAGTGGAAACTTACGCTACTTCTGCTGGTCCAAGAGCCATGGTGGATTCAGAGGGGGAGATGTGGTCAAGCAAGAGATTCCTTCTTACACCAGCTGCCACTATAACTCAGGCTATATAGCAAAAGGCATATACTCAATGATAGTCCAAAACAGATTTGTCACTCTGTTGTCTGGATGAATACCGTCTGTTTCGGTTCTCCAGTGAAATCTAGCAGAGATTTATCATTTGTGAAAAAGAAGAAGGTCTACAATCGAGATCCTTACGATCCGTTTGAAAATGGAAAGAACTGAACTTAACCTGTGCGAAACAATTAGCGGGAGGGAAAAGCGATGGAGGCATATTATTAGTATTCCGAAGAGTAAGAAGAAGTAAGACTGTAGACGCTAATAATGGCTCGGGATTTCATGAGCGGTACGTTTTCCCAATGATTGATTGTTAAAACTGCCATTGTAACAGACCAT